TATCTAATTGGTCAAAACACCATTTGGGATGTGTCCAAAAGCCCAGTTTAAATACTCAGGACACCATCAAATCATTCCCTTTTTTCCCTTTTAGCCCTTTTTAGCTTTACCTTCATAAATATCCATTGCAGAGTTGATGTTATACGGCCCGTTCAATGAATCGCTGGCCGTCTCAGTGATCAGCCGTAAAACAGTGATTCTGTCCAAATTCCCTTTAAAATCTTAAATGATTCCCTTTGAGCTAAATTTACCTGTTTCCCTTACAAAAAGCAGTCATTTTAACAGCACAATGTCATTTGATTTCTGTATTAGAAGTAACAGGCACAGACAGCGGCTCAGCGCTGCTCTGAGGCAGGGTGAGTAACGCTGTATCGATAGGATGAGGAGGGTATAGCTATTTTTGTGAGGGTGTTTGTGTTTTTATTGAAAAAACAGAAACATGAACATTGCATTTGTCGCCTGCAGGAACAAGGGGAACATAATGCAGGATGCAGCGCTGGGCCTCCAGCGAGCTCTCTCCTCCTCTTGGCAGGTCCGTTAGGACGAAGGCTTGGCAGCTGAAGGCAGTCTGCTGTCACGGCGGGGACTCCTCCTCTCTCCATGATGCCTTTTCCCAGATCCTGTCCACTGCTTGCGGCGAATATCTGGCTCATGTCGGGGAGTCGCAGAGGATGTGACTGGCTGCTTAGCCATTCTCTGAGCAGAGCTGGTTGCAGATGAGGAGCGTGATCTCAATGGTGGATGGAACGTGTGCTGGGGAATCAGGTGACTCATCGCCAATGCCTCAAGCCATCGTGCTTTTGTGTCTCAAAGAAGCACTCGATAACAGACTCCACGGTGTCACCGAACAGGCTGGAGGGAGTGATTGGCACGTTAAGGAGCGCCTCACAGTCGGAGTCCTTCAGGTCAGCTAGGGTCAGCCATAGGTGCCTGTGAAGGAACACCATGAACCCCATGGATCGACTGAAGGCTTGAGCGGAGCGTTTTATCGCTATCAGCGCAAAGTCTATTGCCGTGCGCAGGTCTTTCACGGAGGGCAGGCATGTGCATGGAACTGTGGGTCTCCCAACAGTTATTGTTTCATTGTTTTATTGTGTTATTGTTTAACAGTTATTGTTATTGTTTTATTGTGCAGACCATGACTGAGACCACAACGAGTGCAGACCATGACTGCTTACGGACATCAGGGAAGAATGGAACCCTCCTCCTCAAGGAAGCCAAGCGGCGGCTCGACTGGCAATACCAGGAGTCAAGCTTACTCCTGGCAGTTTTCTCTGGAGCATCCCAATTGAGGTCAAGCTCCTTAACAGCTTTTGCAAGGACCCTGGCAAGCTCCTCCTGGAGGTCTAGGGGGCTCTCAGTGTTGAGGCGATCCCACTCAGACTCTGCCTAGTCCTTTTCTGAAGCTGAGATGGACATGGAGTCTTCGTCTTCCTCAGGGTCAAAGGAAACGACATTCATGATGGCGGGAGGGGGGGCGAAGGCTCTCGTCAGTGAAAAAGACTGGGGAAAGGGGCCCCGAGGGAGGGGAGGGCCCACCAGAGGCTCGCTGGTGGCAGTGGACCTCCTCCTTGAAAGGCCACAAGCAATGCTTCTCCGAGTCCTCAAAATATGTGCCGGCAAATCAGTGCAGTTCACGCAGTCGAACACAGAGAACGCAGCCTCAGCGTGGACCAGGCCCAGGCAGGCGATGCAGTACTCGTGCGGGTCCGGCGGGTTGATGGGACCCACACAAAGTCGACAGAAGGTGGCCATCGGATGCGGTGAAGAAGTTGTAGTATCTTCTGGTACGTCTTCAATGATGGCAGCGTGAAGGAGAAGATTCTGAGGCAATTATCGCTCTCACTGGAGTAATGGGCGTGGCGAAAGGTTAGGGTGTGCTGAAAGGTAGGGGCATGGAGAAAGGTCTTCATAATTGGTCGACAAAGCTTTCTATCAGGGTGTAGGGGTAGGGTTAGGGGTAGGGGTAGTGCCTCCTTTCAGCACGCCCATTGTTCCAGGCTCATTATGTCTTTTATATGTTTTGTAGGTGAGGAATGAGACGTTTTACTGGAATTGACTGTTGATGACATCACACAGGTACGGGTAGCACACTTATACAAAATACATGACATCCCCTCTCTTAAGTTTAGAACTATCCAGCTTGTAAGTGTTATTTCGCAATAGTTATAACAGTTATTACAAAATGTTATTAATTTTTTTAACATGCCTTTTGTAAACAACTATAGGTGTAAACTCTTTATCACACAATATTTTTAATTAAACAATTATACAAACTAAATAGAAACTTTTGTTTTGGTTGCACAAATTATTCAAAACAAAAACAAAAATCAAGCATCGCGTTAGTTCAAGCAGGCCACGTCAGTCAAGCTCGCATCAGCTGATAGTCAACTGTTCACCAATTGATTGTACCAATCAAACCAGTTTTGAGACTTATCACAGCGGTCCATTTAAACTCCCATTGTCCAGCATCTCTTCTATCGCATCACTGCTCGTAAAGCTCTCTCCAAGATCATTCTGTGTTCCCATTATACTTGATTTGTTAATACATGTCTATGATTTTGCAAAAAGGACTTTATCTTCTTGCCGGAGTTTAATGTTGTTTCGTTAGTTTGCTACCGGGTGTCTGTGAGAACAAAACAAGGGGCGTAGAAAAGACTATAAATTGTTTTTAACGTGCACAGTAACTGAAATTTAAAACTGTTAAAAGAAAGGCTCAATAACTGTTGCACAGATATAATACACTACGCATCAATTTCGAATATTGTTTTTTCACTAAATGTTTGGATTTTGGTTCCTCAGTGTTTGCTGATTTTCAGTTTTATATACCTATTTAAACTTTGTGTAACCTAAGTAATTTGTTATTTTATTAGGCATATATGGTATATTTTTATTCATTTTGTTAATAAAAGTTCTGAGTTTGACGTTGTTGTTGCTTGAATTGAGTCAACGCCAAATTGTCGCTAATTTGAAAGTGACAGTAAAAGGCCCACGGTGCTTTTTCTAGCTATTTGAAAGCCTAGAAATCCAAGGAAAAGAGGGAAAACTCAAACGAACAATTGCTTGACGCCGAATTGCATCACTTTGAAAGTGAAAGTAAAATGCGCACGGCACTTTTACAAGACATTTGAAAGCGAAGAAAAGAGGGAAACTCAAACGAGCTAACACCCCCCCC